TTGCGTCAATAAAATGGAATAGTTCAGGACAGTGCTTTTATAAAGGGAACGAGGCCTATCGTATGCACTATCTTGCTTTTCCCGCATACCTCTCCCATTTCTGTGGTCCAGTTTTTGCACTGGTTGTTATCGTTGTACATTTTGTTGCACGCTTTGTAATCCGCCGTGAACCTCAGGCTCAGTGAGAAAGGCGGACTATAAGTAAAGTAAGTAAATAAACAGAGGCACAAAGAGGTGTGTTAATTGCTCAAAACAGACCAGGGACAGAATTTTCACTCATGGGAGGAGCCTTGCTGCTTCTAGGGAAATGCCTGCAACCTGGCCTCCTTGCAATGTGGGAATCAGCAGATGACACTCTTGAGATCTCTTATAGGCAGAACTGTTTCTGGAGCTTTGCTACTTTGTGTGCTTCATGGTAAGCAGATTAAATGCACCAGGGAAGAGCTCATTGGGGAACAACCCTAACCCCAGGGAGACAGCCAGTGTGGTGTAGTGGTCACTGTGATGGACCAGTATCTGGGAGACCCAGTTTTGAATCCCACTGTGCCATGGAAGCACACTGGGGTGACCCTGGGCCAGTTACACTCTGTCAGCCTAACCTACCTCACAGGGTTGTTATGCGGATAAAATGGAGGACGGCAAGATGTAAGCAGCTTTGGGCCCACATTGGGGAGAAAGGCAACGGTGTCAATGAAGTAAACAAATACACAAGCCATGGAAACTGATTTTGATGGTCAGGGCTTAGCCCAGGAATATGTGAGCATGTGTAGAATACTTGCCTTGAGGTAACGGCATCACCACTGCATTCCCCCCCCACACTCACCTTGTACTGCAGGAGTCGTCCATTTCTGTTGGTTGTAGGCAGCCGTAATGCTATTGGCAGTTGAGCTGGGGCCCAAAACCTAAAATTGCAAGGAAACAGTAGCAAGTGTCTTACATATGTGACAGAGGACCGTATTTTCAGTACAATTAAAGTAGCATCTGCCTCTTGCTATACTTCTGTCCCGACACAGGCCGGGACTTGGGGCTGGGAGGCGGCTGGGAGGCCCCAACCCCTCCCCACTCTCCCGCAACTTACAGCTCCGGGGGCAACGTGGCGCAGAGAGAGCCCCGAGGACGCCGGGAGCCGGGGAGGTGGAGGCGGCGCGAGGAAAAGGGGTCAGCCAACGGGTGCCGGGCTCGGCGGGTGGAGCTGCCCCAATGGCAGGATGACGGCGGGCCGGGAGGGGCTGAAGCCGGTGATGCCAGGGCTGGGCGGGACGGCCAGACCACGCCTCTCGGCACCAGGGTGGGGCAAGCAGAAGTGCCCTCGGGGTGGTTCCCTTTGAAGGGGGGAGGGACCCGGATACAAAGGGAGTCATGGGGCTCGAGGGAGTAATAAAAGGAGAAGACGGGAGGCAGCCGAGGAGGAAGGACTGGGCTGGCTGGGGAACGACAGGCTGGATAGAGAGAAGGGGACCCCTTTGACACCGACAGTTGGTGCAGAGGCCAGGTACCCAGGATGGGCAAGAGTGGCGGAAGGTGCACTCTGAATACCCCGTCATCTGAGGCTACCCCTCCCTCTTCACTGAGAGAACTCTCCTCGACTCCCTCCCCACCCCCGGGATGCAGATTGCTGACAGACTCTACTCCCGGCCTGTGGAGGTGCAACTCCAGCAACGGCCAGCAGGGGACAAATCCCTCACGGAGAGGCAGGGCTGGACAACTTCCAAGCCATCTCCCTTATAAATAATAGCCGAATGGTGGTGGCACTTCTCTAGAACTTTCCACACGCTCCAAAATCAGTTCGCTCTCTGATCTGTCATTCAGAGGGTCCCCCTATCCACTGGCTGCTTTGCCTGAGTCTTGCCTCCAACATTCTAAGCAGTTTGCTCTTCCTCTGCCCCCCACAGCCGGTCAGAACACAGAGGTTATTTGCATATGCAGCCCCATTGGCCTTTGCCTTGGAACACAGAGGTCGTTTGCATATGCGACTTGATTGGCTTTTGCCTCTAACATTCTAAACAGTTTGCTCTTCTGAGGTAAAAATTCCCTTCTGGGGAACCATCGTTGCCAATCTCCAGGTGAGGGCTGGAGATCACTCAGAATTACAACTGCTTTCCAGATGGCAGTGATCAGTTCCCCTGGAGAAAATGGTGGTCTCTGTATCCTTATATGCTGCTGTGGTGGCCCCCGAATGACAGCCAATGTGACGTAGCAGTCAGGGCTTCAGAGCACGGGAGAGGCTGCAGGTGTGTGGGGGGTGGAAAGCTGAAGAGTGAGGGGGAAATAAAGGTAGGTTGATGATTGGCTGGGAGGGGGATAGGGTTGCCAACTCCAGGTGGGAAACTCCTGGAGATGTGAGGGATGGAGCCTGGAGAGGGTGAGGTTTCAGGAGGCGTGGGACCTCGGACAGGTACAAAGCCATAGACTCCACCCTCCAAACCAACTATTCCCTTCTGGGGAACCATCATTGCCAATCTCCAGGTGAGGACTGGAGATAACTCAAAATTACAACTGTTCTTTAGGTAGCAGAGATCAGTTCCTCTGGAGAAAATAGT